GCTTGGCTTTCATGGGTGCTAAAGTATTTTTTTAAAATGAAAACAATGAATGAATGAATGAATGAATGGATACAGAAAACAGACATTTTTATCGCAAGCTATTCTTGGGTGATAAACTGTTGCTTCCAGTTCACAAAAATTTCATTATTTTCAGTCTGAACAGATCATCGTATTTACTTTAAGGTTGGTGGAAATGTTATTTCCATTACCTTTAAGAAAATTTTATCCTAAAATGGTTCATTGTCTTTACAGGAAACAATGGGAGAGCTAGCAGATTTTCAAAGATTGTGCTATATACAAAAGTAGCGAGTGAGTCTATAATTCTTTTTTACGTTTGTGTAGATTATGTTTGTATAGGACAGGATGGTTCCTTAAATCTTTAGCAGGATAAGTGAGATTGAGCCCTCTCTTCCTGAGACCATTAACAACAACGAAAAGGATTCTGTACTTCTGTTTAAATGAATTTTTCTGTTAACCAACTAACAAATGTTTATTGAATACCTAGTGTGTGCATGTGGTGATTACAAAGATGTGTAAATTCAGGACTTGCCCTCTGGAAACTCTTAATCTGGGGCAGGCTGCAAAGCCCAGGGAGAGATGATCAGGACACTCAGGAAGGATGGAGACCAACAGGACTAGAGTTGAGAGCAAGCAGCAGGTCTGTGCACTGAAGTGGGCAGGAGGTTTACTTATGGGAAGGGGATCACCATGGAAACCTAGGAAAGAGGAAGTGGGTTGATTTTTCATCCTGTTCACAGAAACTCACACTACACATTACAGGGAAAAGGCGCCCAGTGATGTCGCACGTCCCCACACAGGCCGCCTGGGTAAGATCCCACGGCTCTGTGATCACTCGGGGAAGTGGCGAGCCAGCCAGTCTTGGGAGGAGCTGCCTGAGGTAGTTTCTTACCTGCCTCCTGGTTTGCGGGGATGGAGGGGAGGCATGGCAGTCCATCGCCATCTCCTTTTGGGTATGGATGCAAACTAAACACTGCTTGGCTGCCGTTCAGGGCAGGAGCCTCCCTGACTCACGACTCCGACTCTGTCATCGGCCCCTCCGGCTGGGCTGGCATCTTCCCGTGAACTAGGAACATGGGAGGTCTCGCTGACGCTGCTACGCCCGGTGGAAGTGTCGCTGCCACTGCCACGCAGGGTCTGCTTGATGGATGGGCACAAACAGGTCAGGGAGGAGGGACGAGGACTGGCCACTGCACTGCTAGGTGGACTCACTTCTCCCAAGGAAAGTGGCTGGAAGAAGTCAATCAAGGCCCCTCAGAAAAGACAGCTGCAGGCCCGCAGGCCCAGGGGCCAGTGCGCTGCTAGGGGATCTCAACAGGCAGAAATCAGAAAATGACTTGTGCTGAGGCAGCACAGACCTAGGGTTTGGAGGGAAAAGGCTGCCAACCTCTGATGAGAGGAACAAGGATCACTGCTAACTCAAGCTGTGCTCCACCGCCTTCTTCTTGACCTCTGCTCACTGCGCCCCTCCAGCACCCGGGCCTCCTGGGCCTGGAGAAACGATGACGTAAGTACTGAGCAAACACCTGCAAGGGGCTGTGGCTGGAGCTCCAAGGACATGCAAACAAGGTGGGGACTCATATAACACGAGCTACATACCTGCATGAAAGAATACAACAGCAGCCTAAGTAATGAGAACTTTCTGGAGAGATCTCATCTTCGCAAGGGGAGGCTTGATACACGTGGACCTTTGAGGACATTTCGTTCATAATCTGTATAATGATGCTTAGTATGTGCATTCATCATATTTATTTATCTTATGGCTTAAGACATGATAGAGGACTTGGCATCAGTCTATATAATTATATTCTATTATACATTATATGATATTCTATTATATACACAACACTTGGCCTTAAAGAAGGAAAGTTAAAATGGAATTCTCTTGTAATCAGTTTTTTTGTGCTGAGAAGTGCTTCCAGGTTTGGGAGCAATCCTCTCTGACAAGCCCCTAGAACTCTTTATTCGCGAAAACTCCATGCTGTGTCTCAGTGGTTATGAGCGTGAGTGTTGGGGTCAGAGTGCTGGGCACGGACGCCAACTCCACCGTGGGTACCTCCGCATAAGCACTGAGCCTTCTGTTCCTCAGTTTCCCCACTACTGCCCAAAGGCGACAGGGAGAGAATGTGTGTGTATTTAGTGAGACAACCCACACAAAGTGTTTGGCGCACAGGGTGGCATAGGGTGTGCCATAATTGTGTCAAACTTATTATTAAAATACTGATACAATATATCATCATTTTCAATAGCAAGTACAGTTGGTATAAGTGAAATTATGTAAGCAATCATCTTGATTATTAATTTTTCCTATATATTTTTCTATTTCTATTTTCCTTTGGAAAATAATGAGAATAGTGGATATTGTTGGGTGGTGATGAGCAGAAGAGAGAACACGAATATAACGCTCCATACAGAATCACCGTGGTTTCCAACAATGAAATACTGTATGTGGGCTTCTCGTGACTTTGTAAGAATTAATTGTTTTAAAATCAGCTTCAATTGTCAAAATTCCCATGACTTATGACAGCTTAAATATTTGCTATTTTGTTCCAAAACACAAATGCCAGTTTCTTTTTCTGTTTCTCTTTTTAAGTGCTATGATATCACTGTCCTATTCACAACACGAGAGACTTGCTTGAAGAGATATGACTTTTTAATATCCGAGCTTTTAAAGGCATCTGGCCCTTATTTAGCTGTCAAATTTCCCTCCGGCTCCTGCAGGCACGGTTCTGTTGCTGAAGCTCGGCTGGCTGCCTTCTGCAGAGCCCCTGCTTGATGAACACAGCTCCCCTCAAACCGCCGGACCCCACCCCTGCCACTGCACAATCAGAGCACACAGTTTCACCGTGGCTTTCAAATAAGAAGATAAAAATAAGAAAATAAATTGCTGGACACTCAGCTTTAGTGGGGCCACTGCCATGACATGTTCAGTTTGATGCCTGATATTATTTGCAGAAGTGTTTATGTACTATGAAATGTTCAGCCAGAGCATACAGGAAACTGTAAAATATTTTATGAGATGTGTACATGGTTGATGGTAAAATTTTAAACGCAACCTGGGACGGTTCTATCTAAATTCCAGGAGGGCAGATGAGGGAATAGTTTCTCTGTAGTGACTCAGTTTTACACAGGGGTTTACATGAACTGGGAAGAAATATCTGATATGGGAACTATATAAATTCTTTTTCATAAAATTAAACTTTATAATTTCTAGACAAGTAAACATATTTTCTTTCAGAACAAGAATCACCAGTTATGTTTATTTGTCTTCTACATGGTAAAAGCATTAAATGTGAATTGTTTATTATTTTATAGAAACAAAGGACAAACAGTAATAAATGAAGAATGCTCCCCACATACAGAAAGTACATACATAATTTAAAAAATATTTGTGCTTTTGTTTTTTTAAATAAAAATTCTTAGTCCTAAAATTGGAATATTATTGTTTATTGATGTGTGTGAGAGAGAGATAGAAAGATCAATTTGGTGTTCCACTTATTGATGCACTCATTGGTTGATTCTTGTATGTGCCCTGACCGGGGATGGAACCCAGAACCTTGGCATATAGGAGGATGCTCTAACCAACTGAGCTACCCGGCCAGAGCTGGAACATTATTGTTGGATCTCAACTATTGTAATGTGTGAAGACAGGAAGGTTAAAGACATAGCTTTAAAATGACATGTTCAGAAAGCAGAATTTTCAAATTGAGGTGAAGGGAGAAGTATTTCTATTTCCTTTACTCTCAAATCTATGAGGCAGTGTCAATCTCCCACTAGAGAGGCTATTCACTTATTTTCTGGTTTTATTTTCAAACTTCATCTCCAAAACACAGCCTATAAAAATAGAAACTATTTTGTGTATTCACATTTGATTTAGAGGTGAGCATGATTTTTGTGTTTATTTTTTGTTTTGTTTTATAGCATGTACCTCATTAGGTCATTGTGAAGACAGAAGAAATGCCAGAGGTCTACTTCCTGACACAAAGTAGGTCTCAAAGTAGGTTAATTCCCCTCTCCCTTTGCTTGTAGACTTCTTTTAAAAAAATTGTTGTGTAATTGACAGATTATTTAATGAATACCAGTCCCTTTGAAGAAAATTTTAATGTAACACGTCTAAGGCACACATGCCATAGAAGCAACGTGTCTTGGTAACATCATCATAGCAAGCCCAGCATGGAGCACGCTGCTAGCCTGGGAACATCGGTTTCCCTCCCTGGGCCACGTGTTTTTATCTGTGAAACTAGTGGTTATTTCAATGATCTTTAAGACCATCTTCTGCTCTAACATTTATGAATCTACGTAACATTTTAATCTTTAGAGAGAAGTTTATTGAAGTCACATTTTCTGAAATGTTCCTTCTTTTTTTCTATATTCACTGCTTAAGGAAATTTTATTTCACTTCTAATTTAGTGTTGTGGAAAGAATCAGAGAAAGAACCTATGGGTAGAAAAGAAAAAAAAAGAATTAAAAATATTAATATTGAGCAATTATGGGGACATGTAGGCTGGTTCAGGACAGACATAAATGACCTTGTTTTATTCTAAATTCAGCTCACTGGCTTATGATGGAAAGTGAAAGGTTATTATATGGACTTACTGGGCAAAACCAGATTTTATAAATAATTACCTGTCAGACTGTTCAAGATAGACAAACATACACCAGACCAACAAAAACACAGACCTGTCATATTTCTGAGAGAAATGTACGTTGAGTCTTCCTTCTCTGGGAGTATAAGGAGATCAGGTAGAATAAAATGAAGGGAAAACCCTAAACCCTATATTTTCTGCCTTGTGCATACTTTAAAATGTATAATGTGGGAAGAGAAGGAATTTTGATGTGAAAAAATAGCCCCTGAAAATTTTATACATCAATAAGCCAGGCAGATCGAAACCAAATACAATAAATGCTGTAGTTTTAAAAGTTAGGATGTTTACTGCAAGCTTATAATTTTCTATGATTAGGGACGCCAAGAAAAATAAGAATGATGATAAAAAGAAAAGTTTAATCATACATTTTAACAACACAGATGGAACATCAAAACCCTTTGGAAATTTCTGATATTATATATCTGCACTTTCTGTCCTTGACATAAAGATTTTTTCCAGAAGGACTAACATAGAGCAGGTAAGTGATAGTTGACAAACGGGAATAACGTGGCCCAATCATACTAACTGGGCTGCACAATGATTTTGGTCACCAGATGAAACCTTTCATGTTTCTCATTTCTGTTTCTATTAATTCTTTACAAAGGCTGTCTCAGTGTGAGTAAAAGCCATGATAAAAGTAAAATTACACCAACTCCTACGAATTTAAAGGAATAACTTCCTGTGTTCTTTTGCAATTCAAGTCTAATCAGGAACCAGACAATTACGTCTGCTCTATTTTGATTTGTTCCCGAGGGTGCCAGTTCCTCGCTTACTGGAGAAAGTATAGATGCCAGAGGGTAGCTCAGCTGCTACCGGAACTTCCTGTCCACATGCACAGCCTCAGGGTGGCGGTGCTGGGAGAGCACCTCCTCGCTCCCCTGCGAAGACTCTGACCACTCTGCTCCTGAAGGGGAGGGTGCGTGTGAGAGCGGCGGCCTGGGAGGCCTGGGACGACGGGGACAGGGAAGGAGAGAGCTGACGGAGGGGAGAGGGTCTGGATGCGGAAAAACACACGCCAGGCAGATATGCAGAGAGCTGGGAGGAAGGCACGAACATGACATACACTGTAAGTGGGAGCAGGGAGGCGAGGACGGGAACAGAGTTCATCAGGTCCCCTCGATCTTTGATTCCTGTGAGTTTATAAAATAGACATTTGTCTCTAAAGTCCCCGTGGATGTAGTCAACAAAGTTGGAAAGTAAAGTGCAAGGGGAAAGCTGACTGTCCTTTTAATTTTGTTTCCTTTGTCCCAAACTTGGATTACTAAATGCATCAAGTAAAACATAGACTAAACACTGAAAAAAAAAAAGACACTGCTTTTAAGATATGTGAGCTGAGGGCAGTAAATCCATTCCAAATTAAAATTTCAAAATTGTGTGATCCGCATTCTTGTCCACCTACACACTCTCCCAAACATCCTGCCATTAATTAGCCAACGGCCCATCCAGTAAACAAGACTAGGCGTTGAGGGGGCTGGGGAAGGGCTGGAGTCAGCCCCTCAACAGTCACAACAAACCAGCCCACTCCTGAGGGTGCAGAGAAGGTCAACGTGTGCTTTACTTTGTCCACACGGGGGAACAGACATCACCTTCACAGAGCATCGCCTTTCCTGCGGTCCAGGCCCAGCCACGTCAGCAGGCCAGGAAAGCCATCCCGTTCCTGCGGTAGGCACTCTGTGGAGAAGAAGAAATCTGCAATGAATTATCACAAGTTGACCAGGAAAGGAGGTACGACGCAAGGAGAGCTTCGTCCTGGGCTGTGGCCGGCCGGCCGCACTCTAACAGGGGCTTAATCTGAACAGTTCTGGTGGCAAAGCTCTAGCAGCTGCTTTGTCTATTAAAAAGTCAATGTGGTTTAACAAGTGGCTAGGGATCCTATTTTGGGGGAGTGGGAGATAGGCAAAATAAGACATGTTGTGTTGTTAATTGCCTGGACTTGGTTAGGGTAAAGACATGTTGTGTTGAATCTGTTTGTCCTTTGTAAACATGTGTTCCCTATTGGACATGCTCAAGAATCATTTCTAACTAAGTATCTTAATAGTCTATAAATTACTGGCTCATTATAGCCTTCCAAGGCCTAATTTATAGTCTCCATGCAAAGCTCTGGGAACAGGCACTAATAGAGGCCATTCCTCCCCCTGAAAACGGTCTCTAAGGAGTTCTGTACATTACAGATGTTATAGAAAGCTCACATCTCACATAACTTCATATACACGCATGCACATGCAGTGTAGCTGTGGATATTCATGATTGGATAAACAGTCCCATGAAAGAAAATGGGAAAGTGGATACTAATCACAATATATTTCTTCAAAGTAAAACGTATGACTTTTCATCCCAAGAGCTGTCTGCCTCCCTCCGGAGCTGGAAGAGCTGGGCTACCCAGGCCTCTGTGACTCGCCCTGAGCCTCGCAGCGAGACCGGCGTGGAGCAGAACTGAAACCCACGGCGCAGGAGTAAAATGACCCCTTTCACCACCACAGCGCTCAATATTTACACTATGAAGTCACATTCAGACAATTCCTAACCCTCAATTAGATGCCACTTTTCTATAATGTTTTCAGAAAAGTGGAAACAATTACAAAATCTGTACCAGGGACTTTCCCCTCTAAGCTAATAGCTCTGGGCTATTCTGGAATCTGGACGCTTTCAGTCCAATAAATGTACCTTCAACAGCATCTTGTCGGAAATGCAGAATGAGCTTTTACGATGAAGCTAATGCCATGGACGTACTGTACAGTTTAATTCTAAAAAAATGACTGAAATCCATTTTTAATTACATTGCAAAAAAGGTAAGTGAACCCCAAGCTTTTAAAGACTTCTACCAACACGAGGTGAAACAAAAATGCTTTTTTCAATAACTTTCTGTTAATCATAAAACCAGTTCAGGGCACATGCATCCCTTCCAAACTGCCGGCGTGTACGGGATTTCCTGTGGGTGTCAGGTTGGAGCGGGGCTGCAGTTCCATCAGTCGCTGCCACGCAGCTCACTCCAGAGCAGCGGCTCAAGGATGAGAAAACGGGCACATCCCTCGCCCACTCCTCAGGGCTCTCCGGTGAGTTCGTTCCTGACCCCAGGCTTTTTGTGCCAGAGGACACCTCTGGGCTGGAGCAAACATCCTAACAGGAACTAGAAAGTTCCACGTCCACCCCTGAGAGCCTGCGCTGAGAGCAGTGTTAACTGTACTCCTCAGGGAGCCACAAATAACTCGCAGCGATGGATAGAGTGTCTTCCCGCAACCACAAGCGGGAGCCTCAGGCCTCCGCACAGCCCACCACCAAGGCTGCCTGAGAGCCTTCCGCCCAGTAACACTTTTGTTTCTGGACCTTGATATTTTAAATTTTACAACCACAGCGACAACCTTTCACATAACATAATATTTAAGCACAGGGACAGTTTACATGGAGATAAATAGACCTGGAGTGAAGCCGGATTTCTCTCCCAGGTAAAGGCTGAGTGAGCCCTGCTTGAGAATGAAGTTTGGCGCAGAAGAGTCTTGGCTGAATGTACCTACGAATTTACCGAGTTTAATCTTTCCAGGGTGGGCCGTATGAAGTGGTTCTCCCTAGGGCTGAAAAGGTCACATTTAAGAAAATCAATTCACCTTTGCAAACAGTGAAAAGATCGCAGGCTTATAGTAACAGATCCCCAGTAGCCAAGCTGACCCAGATTCCTGGACGAAGGTCTTCCTATTCTAATTCTAAAATAGAGGAGGAACAAACATGCCTGTGTAATTAGCGAAGGGCAATTTCAGCAAACCAATCCCCCAGGGTCCCTCACCCTGAGTCACTGCTGTTCCTTTTGATGTACAAAGGATGTGTGCTCTCTGTGTAGGGTGATTATGGGAACGTCGAAAATTTGGCATCTTTTCCAGAGTAAGCAACTTTAAAGGAAGATGGATGAAGACAACTCATCTTTGTGTCAACTGTGAATTTCTCTTTATTTGTGTTGCAAATGTTGAAACTAAATTTAAACATCGCTTGGTGTGAGGGCCTTCCAGAGGCCACATTCTCACGAAACACATTGTATCCCACTTACTCTCTACTGTCAGATCCTATGACTGATTCCCAGTTCTATGTCTTCACAGACACTCTGCAGACCCTGACCGGGAACAGCCAGGACCACACCTCACTACTGAAAAGAATAAATCAATCAATAACCAAATCAGACTTCCCCAATAAACCAGCTTCTTCCGTATGCCACTTTAGACTTATTATTGATTTAATAAAGGTCTGCACTCGACTACTAGCTGCTCCATGTGAATTTGTTGAATAGCTCAGACACTTTAGCATGTTACCAGTAAAGTAGCAAAGACAATATTTGGGTTTCTTTTTTTAAAGGACCAATTGAAGTTACTATGCCTTTTTTTAAAAAATTGAGGATCAAGTGAGCTCCCAACTTTTACATTCATTTATTCACTCAGCACCAAATTATGACCTGTTACCAGAACCTCAATATACCTGGATAAGCAGACACAGATGCTATCTATTGCATGGGCATGGGTGGGGAAATGAACTCATGACTGTGCACTTTTAAAGTATGACTTTTTTTTGCTTATTTGAATATGGATAAACTAGAGAAAACATTTAAATCTCAAATTGGTTTACTTCTGCTTTGTTGTGGGTCACCATAAATTGCACATTTTAAAGAATACACATTACTATGACAGTAAAAGATTAATATTTATCTTAAGCAAAAGAAGACATTCTATAAAACATATCCTGTTATTCCAACTTGAATATACTTGCGTGTGTTATTTATGCCACAGTCTAAACCTGTCCTCCACCCAGTTCAGATGTACATTTTATTCTCACTACCACCTTTCCTGACTCTTTCCTACTTTCTCAAACTTGAAATAAAACAAGAGTTTCATTGTAGGGACTGACCTCAGCAGGCAGGCTAGAGAGTCCCAAAGCTCATCTCCCACAAAAACAATAAACAAACAACTACCAACATGCAGAAACAGCTCTGGGAAAGCTCGCAACTACAACAAAGAAGCAGAACCCCGTGGAGCTGAGGAACAAGCCTGGCCACTTAGAAGTGTGGGAAGCATTTTACCTGCGTCATCCCACCCCCAGTTCAAGCAGCTCAGCGCAGAGGGACTCCCTCAGGTGAACTTTACCCCAGGGGAAAGGAGAGCAGGAGCACCTCAGAAAGTCTCATCACTGCCATGGCCATTTGCAGCCTCGCCACAACACTGGGCCCTGCTGCTGGAGCTGCATGGATCCCCACTGCTGTCTCCTCATGGTGGCTGGGCTGCTGCTGCTGTGAGACCTGCCCCCGGGCCCACCTGATGCTGTGCCCACTCTCTGGGTTGGGACACCACAGCACCTCACCATCTATGGACGGGGAGTTGCTGCTGCTCTCTGTGCCCGGTCTCTCAGATTCTAAGTCACAGCTTTGATCCAGCACCACCGGGCAGTGCTCCTGCAGCTGCTGCTCTCTGGCCCACTCTGTGAGTCTGACGTCATGGCACTCACTTGCCATCACTGGGCAGTACTGTTGCAGCTCTATGTCCCATCCTTGGGTCCTGAGTCATGGCTTTGACCTGGCATCACTGAGGCTGATCTGCTGCTGCTCTGCCCCCTGCCCCTGAGAGCCAGAGTCGGGACTTTGACCCACCATTCCAGGGCATCTGCTGCTGCACCCTAGCCGCTGCTGGGGCCCCCACCCTCGGGCCCAAATACTGTGGTGAGTCTCAGAGACTCGGACCGGGGTTCCCCAGGAGACCTGCACATGTCTGCATCTAAGACACTAGCATTACCATTGCAGCAAGTGTACCTATGCCCCAGGACCCAGGCACTGCGGTAGTTCCACATGTACCTGACCTCAGCACCCCAGCTGCTCTGAGTGCCTGAAACCAAGTGGGATAGCCTTGTCTAGGACATCCTCCCACAGGCAGAAAAGGAGACCAGGAAGACCCCAGCAGCTCTGCCACTGAGGACCCCAAGAGTCCTAGGCACCACTGCCACTTGCAGGACCTCCACAGTCTTGGCCACCAAAGACAATGCAGTCTTGACCAAAGTTGACCTTGTTGATGGATGTATGGCAACTATGCCACTGTGCTCTCCCCAGAATCAGAGATGCTGCATCCACCCAGCCAAAGCCCTCATGGCCACCTTCAGAGAAAAGTCTTTCCTAACCAATGTTAGTCTTTAAAAACAGCAGAAGAGCTGACTGCTCCCTCAAAGGCGCAGGCATCAATATAAAGCCACTAGAAACATGAAAAAGTAAGGAAACATGATACCATCAATAATTTTCCAGTACCCAATGCCAAAGAAATAGAGATCTATGAGTCAACTGAAAAAGAATTAAAAATAATTATTTTAAGGTAGTGCAGTGAGATTCAAGAGACCACAGAGAACTCAATGAGCTTAGGAACTCAATGCATGAACAAGATGAGAAGTTCAACAAAGAAAGAGAAATCACAATGAACCAAACAGAAATTCTGGAGCTGAAGGATGCAATGAATAAAATGAAAAAATGCAATAGAGAGCTTCAAAAAAGACTTAATCAAGCAGAAGAATTAATCTGCAAACTTGAAGACAGATCTTTAATATTACAGTCAGAGGAGAAAAATAAATAAGAATGAAAAGGAGTGAAAAAAACCTATGTGAATTTTGGGACAACATCAAGTGAAACAATATTTGCATTATGGGAGTCCTAGAAGAGA